GAGAATATCTTTAAATCTAAATTGCAATATTTGAACTGTGATTCTGTAGTTGATAATACAGTATGAATTATAATAAAATACTATTTTTTAATTCCAAATGATAACTCCACAAAGCTATACACAATTGTAAATCCTATAAATAGCTAACTACCGACTTCAGCAGTCCAAGCAATCCAAATGCTATACAAATCTTTTTCAGTCATACTTCCTTCTTCGCTTACACTTTTCATTACTTCAAGGTTGGGGAAAAATGCTTTGAAAGGTTTAACAGGAAATATACCATAAAAATTCATCATCATTGGGACTAACAGATCTTGGAGTTGAACGTTAAGGTAATGAATATAAATCGGGATCCATTGTTTTAATAGGAGGTACTGTTAATATGACATTATTTATAAATTCGGAATTCATCTGGAATGTCGTTTAATGGTACTGCATCCGCTGTAGGGATGGGCAATGTAATTTTTTATGTAATCAATATGTATTTTTTAATTGATACATAATTTGTAAATTATTACATATTTATTACATATTTTTAAGAGAAATCGATCACTAAATAAAAGATTAAATCTGTTCTTGAAAATTTGAAAATTTTAATTAGCGTTAGGGGTAATAAATGATATAATTTCCCATTATTACATACCGTTATTTAGCAAAAATTTTTAATAAGAATACATAAGAATATGTATTGAATATGTAAAAAATTTGCCCATCCCTAATCCGCTGACATTAGATATATTTTTCTATCATGTAGTTTTTCTACAATACTTTTATCAGGTATTTTTTCGATGTGTCTAATTGCTTGGCTATCTGTGATTTTTCTTCAAATAATAATAATAATAATAATAATAAATTTGTTAATAAACATATTATTGAAATGAAATTATCATTTAAAAATACCTTTTGTATTATCTTCTTTTGGCAGAGTGATTGTTACCAATGGTATCAATTTTGCCTTTTTTCTACTCAAGACGTACCGGTACAACCAAAATAGAAATATAAAATTTGCGAAACAAATAAAAATCAATATTGTCCAATTTTTAAATAAATTTAACAGATAACTAGTTTGAAAAGGTATAGCTAAAATCCACGGTAAAACTGTAAAAAAAATTGCAATGTTTCTAAAAAAATAAAATATAATAATAATGAATTAGTTATATGGTAAAGAAGGAAATAATACAGTATAATTTTTTTTCTTGGATTTTATAAACATACTGTCTTTACAAGTTTCAGATCGAATCAAATTATATGTATAACTATGGCATATGGGGAGGCCCACAGCAAAACTAGGCTTCGAGCCAACCAATCAAAATATAAAGATTTTATATAATAACTATCTAATTGTTTTTATTAAAAACAAATTTTAATTATTGAATATATTAACAGTTAATAAAAAAATATGTAAATTTAGTTTCTTTGGCACAACATATAAGTGATAATCATATGGGGTCTGTGCCTTGAAAATGAATAAAAATTAAAATTTCCAGCTATCTAGTAATCCAATTCAAATAAACTTTTTTTTATTTTGTAGAACACACTAAGCTCTACAAAATAAAAAAAGTTTATTTGAATTAGATTATCAGATAGCTAGAAATTTAGATTTTTATTCATAAAATCTACATAGTCCTATAAGGTCATTTTCAAGGCAAAGACCTCATATATAGTGTAGTGTTTATAAATTAAATTAATAATTTTTTTTTTAACAAAAAAAATAATATATTAATAAATTATAAAAATATTTTACATAAATAAAATAAATTAAACTTTATTTTATTTTTTTTCGTTCTTTTTTTAATTTTGTTATTGATATTTATTTTTTATTCATTTTTACTTAATGTACTTAGTTTGTATTCTATTTATTATTAACTTATTTTTACATTTTTTATTAATTTATTTTTTTCATTCTTTTTTTTTTTGTTTTTATTTAAATTTTTTTTTTATTTTTTATTTAACTTAATGTATTTAATTTATTTATTTATTTTTCATTTCTATATATTTATCATTTACATTTTTATCAATTTTTTATTTAATTCATTTTTATTTAATATTCATTTTTTATTTTTTTCATTATTTATTATTTATTTTTCTTTACATATTCTACTATGTTAACTTAAAAACTTTTACTAATTAAACTTAAAGTGTATATATTCAACTAATAGAATATTAATTTTTACTGAAAGATATTAGAAACTTGCAAAGATATCAAGGTTTTTATAAATTTGGATATCTATGTTTACATCAATATTTCTTTATAGATCACTTTTTCACATACATTTTGAAACATATTTTAACTGTAAAGGCAAATTTTAATAATAAAATATTAAAAGTCGTCTTATTAAACTAATATTTTTTTGACCTATTTTACAACTTTTGTTAGTAACAAGGTAATAAAATTTCGTATAAATAGTGTTATCAGCTTTTTTTGCATATATGCAAATTATATAAAAAAGCTGTAATATTATGTAAGAAATTTTGAAATATTTCAAAATATCTTATGTAATATTTTGTAATTTTGATATTTCACAATATTTCGAAGTTTTTTATATAATATTATAGCTTTTTTATGATATGTAAATTATTTCAAAATATTTTGCCTTTTTAAATTTACTAATATGCTAATACTTTATTTGCAATAAATTTTGTGCTTGACAAAAATATTAGAATAAATATTTACTCACAATATATCTAACTACGCAATTTTTTAAGTATTGACTCACTCAGTTACCCTAAAAGTACCTATATGCGATCTGCTACA